ATTTTCCGGTGGGGTTCTCTGCTGCCGACTTGAAACGGCACACGGAGGCAGAGGCACTTCTCCCAACGCCTGGGAAATTCTCTGGTGGGGTTCTCTGCTGCCGACTTGAAAATACAATGTTTTAAATTTATTTGAAACCAAAGCAGGAAGCTTTCACAGCAAACAAAGCCTTGACAGGGAAAGGTTAACCCATCTTTGTACCTACTTTAATTGGCTTTCTGAAGTTTGAGGGTGCAGAAGGACTGCAGCCGTCTTCAACCACTACTTTTCATTCTTCTGAAGTAATACTTTTACATACATATTTTCTTTCTGAGTCAAGAACCTTAAAAGCAACCATTATGATTTTCTGTGGACATGTGCCCCCTGTTCCACACTGGGACGGGGTGGGGGGGATGCGAAATAAAAGGGCAAAAGCCTCAAAATTATAATCCAGTCTGCTCTAAACAAGGTCAGGTCAGAAGGCAAACACCAAATACGCCGAGGCCTTAGCTCTGATGAGCTGTTTTTATGTGTATATATGTTTGTGTGCTTTGGATGCCCGCCCCAAGCCAGCTGCTGAGGAGCGCTGTCTGAACACGCCAAAATAGCTGGGAAAGGAATGGAAGGGAGCCAAGAGCTGGGACCCACACACGAAACCACTCAGGCTCTGAAAGCCACGGCACAGCATAAATCCAGAAAGTTGTACAACAAATTCTGTACTGCTGTTAGCAAGACAGCCTAATAGGAACGCAGAGGCCTTCCCAGAAATCATTTATTAATTTTACGTCGCCAAAGGAAAAGGAATCGTTTCAAACGGGTTCAAACGCGTGCAAGGGACAGCACAGGATGCAGCAGGTGACCCTCACATGGGCCAGGAAAAGGAAGAAAATCCCTGCTACTCTCATCTTCGCTGGAGATAAGGCTTGGGAAACAGAAAACAAACAAACAAACCTCTCCTACGCTACAGTTTCAGGATGAATGGGGTATTTTTAAGTGATTGCAAGGGAAAGATCTGTCCTATGAATATGAGTGGCCTCCAGATAACAAACTGGCTGCTATTTATTCATACTGTAAATACTCATTAAATACCTATCACCAATGGACTGTTAATGGACTGATGTTGATAAATGCTAGACAGCGGATGAAATCAAAGGGCTTCGTCGTCTCTGCGCCCTGCTGAATTGGGCCATCCGTCATTTTTAAGTGGTCATTTGTTATGCTGCTTTATCCAACATATTTATAATCATAATGAAAGAAGACAAAGCACCAAACTGCAGTCTCTTTGCCTTAGAGTAATCTAAACTGAAAAAGACGTGACAAACGGATGGACTGATGGCCAGTGCTAGATAACTCTCTGGAGGTTAATATATTTTATCGTGTTGATGTTTTTATTCATAAGTGCACTCCAAGAAGCCACTGGATAATGTTAGATGTGAAAGATCATTTAGAGTAGTCACTTCCTTTCTAGGAAAACTGTACTTGTGAATTCAGCAGGGAAGAGCATATGACAGTAATCACATATATCACCCCAGTCCTAGCACATACACCCTGAGGAACGGTAGTTAAAAAGTAAGTTAACCATTTGTGTCTTGTCACTTCTGCTTTCTTTGAAATGTGAAATCACAGAAAAATGTAGATGAGAAGGGACCTCAAAAGGCCAACTTATTTTTTCTTTTTCTTGTCCAGAATGGGACTTGCCCAGGGGCTTGCCGAGGCCAACGAGGCTGGAGTATCTCCATGGGGAAGGATTCCACAAGGCTCTCGGGAACAGAGATGCCACGGCACTTATGGGCAACCTGTTCCGGTGTGTGGCCATCCCCAGCATGAAAAATGTTTTCTTAACGCCCACTCGGAACTTTTCATGGTCCAACCTGTCTCCATGGTCTCTCACCCTTTCCCTGGCCTAGTCATCCCCACAACCACACAATCATTTGTATTTACCCCAGTTTGACAACATCCTTCTTGTACAGGTGTCCTAGACTTTGTGTTCCCCAGGACCTTTTGAGCTGTGGTTCCTCCCTGCCAGCAACCAGTTTCCTTATCAGCTTCAGCATTGGTATCTCTTCTTCATAAATTTGCATTCAGTCATTATACACTGCAAAATGTAAACTTTAGATGTCAGACTGAACAAAGAGCTTAATCTCTGGATGCAATCTCTGTTATGCAGGAAAACATGTAACTGTTGTAAGCTACATGCATTCAATATCCATGTAGGCTATCAGGTTTATCTCAGATTTGTTATTTTTCTGGGACAGGTTCATCTGACCTCATTTTATGAAACACAACATATTTCCTTTAATAGCTGCACATGTGTTTAGGTGCCATTTATACATAAAACTGCATTTAGATGTATTATGATACAGTGTGGGCAAGACCAACAAAAGGCTGAAGTCTGTCACCCATACAGCACACACATGATGCGTCACAAGTTGATTACACTGCTAATGATATATCAACATATTCGTGTTTCAAATAATGGAAATGTTATGACTTTTAAAATCTGATCAGCAGAGCAGCATCTTCTTAGTTCTAACATTAAGTGAAAAGCTGAAGTCAGATAATGGGTAAAATCTACTCCCTTTCTTACTGGAACCAGAACTTTATCCTCTGATTTTAAAAGTGACCACAGAAGAGCCCTCTTCACCTCTATTGCTTAAGTTTTCTGAAATCAGTTTTCCCAGAAAAGCAATTTTAAGATTCAGATTTTGAATCCCTGCCATAACTACATTGTTGTTGTTTGATTAGAAGATTTAAGTGTGGTACCTTTCTGATCTAAAAGTAGAAGAGTAACAGCTGGACTCAGAAACCTACATTTGCAGTATCCCTTTTCCTTAGCTACCCGTACTTTGCTTCCCTGTGATTACTGTGAGATGGCATCAGAAAAAACAGCCAAGAGCAGAACTGTAGTTTGGAATGAAACAGTAGCTCCCCTGTTATTCCTTCCTTCTGCCATGACCCTGCACTGAATCAAAAAAGCAGACCTCAGAACACAGATACAGAAGTAGCAGTGCTGCATCTCTGGTACAACAAAGGGCTTTCCTCAGAAACTTGGGAAAAGGCCAGGATCGTCAAGAAGTCTCTTGAGTGCACGTGCTCTGAAAGCCCTTGCTCCCTGGGCCATAACTGTGGTCACACTAGTGCCTTGCAAAGATGTGACAAGCCCTGGGTGTCTTCTGCCCCAGTGCCATTTCCCAAGCCAAATACCTGCTGCAGTCTTCTAGTCTGACCCAGCTGCTCCTCAGACATTTCAGCTCAAGCTATTACCATGCTGTGGTAGCATCACTCTGTGTTGTTCTGTCTTGGAGAGAGGATGAAGAGACACTGCACCACACTCATACCCAGGGATAAGTTATGGATGAGTCACTGGTCTTTGCCCTCTCTCTTAAGCTTTCTGCTGGTCAAGAGGCCCCCTCAGTCCATCTGTGCAGAATTTTACCACTGCAATTCTGCAGCATGCAAGCAGAGCATAGATGGGATTCCTTCCTCTGCTGTTCCGCTATTTCTAGCCAAGGTGTCTGAGCAGGGAAGTGTGAAGCAGGACGTGAGCCCATCCCAAGCGATGGGACATCAGTACGGCCATGAACAAGTCAGCAAACAAGTGAAAGGAAAATTCCTTAGGACCTGGTGCTGGTTTCAGCAGGCAGCAACTGCTGGGTCACATCTGGTGGGCCCTGATCCTGGAAAGGAATTGTATACATCACTGTCTCTCTCTGGACTTAAATTTGGCTTTTGGATGTTTGAGGTGTTTTCTGGGACTTGTGGAGTATATAAAGCAGAGGTTCCATAGCAAATTCTGTTTTGCTGGCTGTTATTTCAGGAGATGGGATTCTATGACGTATGATCATTGATAAGATCCTTCAAATCTTAAACTCCTTGTGAATCACACAGTATCTAAGATCAGCTTATCTATTATCTGTTATAAACTCCCAAAGAAGTCTAACCAAAGAAGCAATCAGCATCTGCTAAACTAGCTTCCAGTAAAATTTAAGTTTTTGATCCACTCGATATAACCAAATTATCACTGAGATAAGTAAGAACCTTTGCCTTTCTAAATAAGCTTGCTATAATGAGCAGAACTACTGAATTAAAATTCTGATGTTAAGTAACACCACCCTTTCGGAAAATTTTGGTGGCTGCTTCTTTGATTGTTCCCATCTTTGCCAGGGATTCAGGGAATGAAGAAGGCTTTACGTTTTCCACTATAACACGACCCCACCTGACAGTCACCAGCAGAGTTTCCAGAACGCCCTGTTTCACTGGATTGCCTCACTGCACCATGTTGGTACTGTGCACAGTATTTGTCATTACAATCCATTTGCACCAGTGCAAACTCCCTGGCATAGTCCAGGCACTGGTTAACACAGCATCCCAGCCAAAGTCTAGAGTTCACAGTGACTAACTTGTCAACAAATGTCAAGGCCCACTCATTTTTATCATTTTAAAAGGCTTAACAGTAAAGTCAATAAACCACTGTGGTGCACTAAAAGCTTCCTTTTTTAAAAAAAAAAAAAAGCTAGTGCAGAAAATGCATACTGCTGGACCAGTCATTACTTCATGATAAGAAAACAAAGCACCAAGATATTTATTAATATATTATATTTATTGGATTTCCTAAGGAGTATCTGACGGGGAGGTATCTGAGTGACATTCAAATGTATTAAGCTGCATAACCAGGAGCTGCAATGAGAGACATCTCCTGCCTAACTGTCCCTTCATCCTTGCACAGAACAACAACAAATTCCATGGTGTGTCTGCTCATTTAAACACCTGACTTCAATGGAATTACCTCTTTTCTTAATCTACTGTGCTCTCCTTTGAACATTCAGATCTGTTTGTCTTTTTCCTTTAAGTCAGAAACTGTTCTGCTAAACTACATATAGAGCAATCTCTTGCCTGAAAGACAGTAGAGCATGTGAAATTCAGACTGGTTATTTCATCTACTATGTTTTGTAGCGCAATATAAATTTTTGATAATAGCAGTAATATTTATAATGCATATGGTTGTAAAAATGTCAACCAACTTTTATGGCTTTCCTCTTCATATGAATATTCAGTCATCCATTCGTCCCTCGATCCACTGCAATCCTGAAAAGAAAAGATGAAATAATTCAGTAATTTTGAGAGAGCTGAAAACCTGGCAATTAACTGATACGTTTTCTTAGTTTTATTAATTTCTCAAGTGCTACCCTTCATATAAACAGAAACCCAAACACACAAGTCTGTTCTACAGTGAAAGAGGTTAGAAGTACAGTAAGTTTACAAGCATTTTAAATAAAACTGGATGAACATGCCAAATAAAATTATACTGGAAAAATGCTTTATATTTTCTGATATTATTTTAGTCAATTCTCTCGGTCACTTAAATTTCTAACCTGTTACTAAATTTACTAAATCCCAACTGCTTTATTTAGACCTCAGGACCCACTGATTCTACAGGTAAACTTTATAGCAGTTAGAGAGTGTGAAAAGCCTTTAATAGTATTTCAAAATGTGCTTCCCAGAAATATTGTGCAAGATCTGCCCAATTAAAAAGCAAAAACCTTTATCAGAACTCAGTTACTATTCCAGCCACAGATAATAACGGAAGGCTGTTACAAAATTTGAGTATGTATTTCATGAGAGGTTTTCCATGAATGTGTTATTATTTTTGAGTCCATATAAAAACATAAAATAAAATAAAATAAGAATAGGTATAAAACATAGAGATTTAAATACAGTATTACACATGGGGGAGGGGTGGAGTTTCTTCATATTTAAGAAAATACAAATCTAACACTTTAACTTTCTTTAAAGCCTCAGAAAAAGAAAAGGCTTGAATTTTCAATTTTTAATGATGCAAACATGATTTCGAGAATCTCAACCTTTTGTCAGGGAGCTTTTATAAGCAATCTGCCATTATTTTTGTATCATTCAAAATAAGGCAGTCCTTCAAACAGCAATAGAACATCATCTGCCCATTTTTAAACCACAACCCAGTATTTCATTGGGGATGTATATGTGATAACATGGCTAATGGGTTTCAGCAAACTTGGCAAACTCTCACACTGAAAACAAGGCAGGAGAGTCCAGCTGGAATGTAAAATTAATAAACATTCATATACTGTGCTAATATTAACTTGATGAAACACCACACACTTACATTTTTATTATTAACCTTTAATATTTTCTTAGAAATAAAATAAACTTAGGTTTCAAATTAATATTCATATGAATCATAAAAGGCTGTAAAATCCTGAAAAAAACGGACCTCACTAAATGTAATTAAATACCGTATGCTTACTGTGCTCTAACTACTGTTGACTATTTGCCCTGCCTTTGATGCATCCTGGAACATCCAACTTCTTTTTTTGCCTCCTTAATCTCCCTTGGTGAAATTTGAATTGCTTCAAAATTTCCATTTTATGAAGCAACTTCTCTTTGGCACACCACTAAGCCAGCAAGCCTTGGACATTATCCGCTTGTTTTTTCCCCCCTCGTGGATTGCACACTGGAGGAAGGACCTTTAGCTCCTTCTTTGATGCAAAGTCCAAAAATGGGAGAGCTGGAAGAGGGTTGGCGTGTGCTGAATTTAGGCCGTGTTCATCAAACCCGGATAGGACTCGGCTATCAAGCTCTCTTCAGTTGAATGCAACAGGAGGCCAAGGAGTCTCTGTCAGAGGGAAAGCTCCTGTGACCTTGCAAATTGTTCCCAATTCGCCACATTTTCTCCTCGTTACTTCGCTGCAAACATCCACCAACCCCACTTCCCACGGAGCTGCTCAGCTTCATGTTACCCAGGGGTGCTGGAGGTCCCATTAGGTTTCTGTGACTGTGGCAATAAGGAAAGCAAGGGTATGTGTTTCCAAACCGCTAACTTACAGCTATCTAGATAACCAGAGCTGCGCTTGCTTTACATTATTAAATCACGTACCATGGCCTTCCCTTGGTGAAAAAGCTACTGCTTTAGTAATGGTAAATAGCTGGATTTGCTCGCCAATTCCACTCGTGTTTGCACAACTTATCACGCACAGGGTTGCCCCCTTCCTGCTTTCTTGTCACAAATTCCACGCGCACGGGTCAAAGACCTCTTTAGTCATGGCTATTTTGGGCCACTTTCGAGGTGAGGATGAAGAGCTAAATGCTTCTTGGCAAGTATCTGCTCCATGGGTGACGTGATTCTGTGCCCTCGTCCTGGGGAGTGCTGGAAAACCCCAGTGAGCTGCTCCGTCACCTTTCCAGGGATGGAGTGAGGCCTGTAGCTCTCCAGCTCCTCCCTCTTGCCCTTTTTGAAGACTGGAGTGACGCTGGTTTCTTCCAGTCCTCAGGCACCTCCCCTGCTCTCCATGACCTCTCAAAGATGATGGAGAGCAGCTGAGCAATGACCCCCACCAGTTTCCTCAGCACTCTTGAGTGCATCCCATCCGGGCCCATAGATTTATGGGTGTCCAGTTTGCCTAAATAATCCCTAACCCAATCCTCCTGGATCAGCAGAAAGTCCTGCTCTCTCCTGGTTCTCTCTCCAGTCTCCGGACTCTGCAGTTCATGTAGTTACAGCCTCAGCAGTAACGACTGAGGCAAAGGCGGCATTTAGTAACTCTGCCTTCTCTGCATCCTCAACCACCAAGGCACCTTCCCCATTCAGCAACAGGCCCAGATAGCTTGATAAAATGTACTCAGTTTAGGTTGTGTAAATACATATACATACTAAACACGTATTTTACATACAGGACTCAAAAGAGCACTTACTGTGCATTTTGTCACCATCTAACCAACAGTGATCATAAAGGTTTTTTTTGTTCTCAGAGTTTCTGGTAGCCTTTTACGGTCATTTGTCTTAAAGGTTACTCAAGAGTGACTCCACCCTCCCATACTTTCGTTACTCTGATGTGGTGTCATAACAAAAATGCCTCAGTTATTTAAAAATATTTCTGAAAAATAACTTAATGCTTCAATAATGCTTCAAATTCTCCCCCCCCCCCCCCCCCCCCCCCCCCGCGGGCCAACTCGGTCCCTAGGGAATGCAAAAATTAGAAGACTGGAGCCTGGCAAGGAGGAGTGGGATCTGGCTCCTCCTGAGCAGCAGCCCTGACTGGAGCCTGGTGGGGCCCACACGGAGATGTCGCTGAAATCAGGATTCACCTCTGGACGAAACCCTCCCTGAAAGGTCTGAATGACACGAGGCTCTTCCTTCACGGGGCCAGAAACTGCATCCCTTGCTCAACCAACTGCGCGGCTGCTTTTTCAGTGTTATGTTCTGATAACGTGCTTGCCCAGAAAAAGAGAACGCAGTGGCAAGATGCAGACGACGGGTTCGTTACTGGAACATCTTCCTTCACATGAAGCCTCTGTGTAGCAGGGCTCCTCCTTCCTTCACAGGCTTTCTTCAGCTCTTTCAAGGAGTGCTTACACAGTCTTTCAGCAGAGGCTTAGAAGAACGAACATCATTCTTTACAGGTTTTCTACTGGATTTTTTTTTTTATCAAGTTCTATAACTTCAAGGACAGGTTCCAGGCCCTCAGGGACAAAAGGATGAATTTTAATAGCAGTTCATTCACTCTAAAACTTAATGACCCAGTTTGAAAAAAAACATATATACATTCTTATAATGTAAATTCAGGGAGTCATTAATTTGCAAAAGATGATGTCTTTCAATAACAACTTAAAAAATAAAAAACTGCAGAGCTGAATGAATGCACACTGAGTGTTTTAATATGACAAACGAAAGACAAAGTTACACACCTTGTAAAGGTAGAAAAAGTTTTAGTATTTAAAATTTAACAGAATTATTGAATACCCAGATTTAACGAATAATCAGATCTCAAATTGGCAGAGTGTAGTAAACTGCAGGAAATGGAGAGAAAAAATAGGGCAAAATTTTTATACTAAAAACAGTGCAGGTCATCTTTAACACTTTCAGTTGTGTGGATAGCCCTGGGACCTTGATATCCGCTGCACACCTCTATTTTAAGTAGAATGACATTGGGTTTTTTAAGATCTAAATAGAATAAAATTTTAATAAACACAGTCACCCCTCACTTGGAGCTGCCCCTCTGGCATACGCAGCGCTCACGACGCACAGCGCACACCGCCGCTCATTTCACCATCCACCCCACGCCGCTCAAACGTCTCCTCAGAGTTAAAACTCTACTCATGTAACCTACCAGCCTCTGCACAAAGTCACGGGAACTTAACAGGCCTTCTCTTGGTGTAAGAACTCCTTACAGCTTTTATACGGCTGTGCATGTGTACATATGTCTGTACATATACACACATCTATACGCACACGCATGTGTGTACACACGGTAGCTATAAAAAACACACACATATCCTACCACAATATGTTGGTGAATTAGTAAAATATTTTTTGTAAATAATTGACCTAAAGAATCTGCAGAAAGCACACTTTCTAGGGCACCACCAAAAGAACACAAGATTTTCAGCCAGGCTCTTTTAGAGTGACTGTTTCGGAATGTGCAAAGAATGTGCTGCCCTCAAAATAATAATGGTTACCCACGGTTTCCACTCAAGAGGGCTTACAAGCATGAGAGAAAAAAATAAAGTCATAGTAAAAAAAAAAAGATTACCGTAATTTGACACGGGAATCGTTAACTGATGTGCTTCCATATTTTAATTACAATTCGGAAAAGGGGAATGCAATTAAGTGCATTGAAAATAAAGACAAAATGTAAGCACCGAAATGAAGACCATTCATGCCTCAAGTTCATGGAACTAGCAGCTTATTTCTTAGTAGTTTGTAGGGGGTAAATTGCAACTACTGTGAATTAGTAATCCTGCTTTTTTGTCCAAATTAAAATCTCCACTGTAAATATGCTATTTTTTCAAACAGTTGATCATATACCTGCTTACCTAATCCCTAACAGTCACCTTTCACCTACTCTATTTACAGCACATAGTACACAGAGGCATCAGTGTAAAATTCACTTTTTTCATACATATTCTCACTGGGAGCTGCAGGATAATACTTTCTAATAATTCTTTCTCATCTTCATGTTGCCAAATGGGGTAAAAAACACATTATCCCAAAAGGATCTTAAATAATGTAACTGATCAGAATACAGATGTCATACAGAAAAGTAGAGGTTGCACAGGC